CCGGGACCCGCTGCCAAAGTGCCCCGAAGACGGGGAGCGCAGAAGGACCCCCCGCCTAGTGCGGCAAAAACCCTGGCGCCGCTCCTGCATATAGATGATGCACATTAGGGCTCTATTTTGTCAGCATCTCGCATCTGAATAGGAATGTGGATAACAGCTACAAACAATGCAAATAAAGGCAGCATGTTCTGTCCTTGGCAGAGCTCTCCAAAAAGAGGGCAACTGCCTCCTGCCACCTAGTAGACACCCTGTCTCTAAAGGGTCAGACTCCTGCAACCATTCAAAGTGCCATATTATGCCAAAGCCCCAGAAAGTACACTGTGTAGAAATGGAAAAGTGGAGAAGTTCAGCTCACTTACCATGGCATGCCTGGGAAGCCAGCACCTTTAGAAAGGTTAGTGGGAGTGTCCCTTGTGCGCCTCCTGTGGTCTGCAATAGCTAAAAGTAGAATGAGAACATGGTCCAACTTTCCAGTGAGTATGAAAAGGAAATAATAGTAACATTAGAGGGAACAGATGAAGAAGACCTAGTAGGGCCCATCTGGTCCACGTCTCCCCACTGTCAATTCATAAGAGCTAAAGGATGGTATTCTCCCAGGTTTTGTCCCGTCTCAAGCAACAAGACTTTCAGTAGAGAGCTACCCTAATCCACTTCAAAAGAAGAGCACTACTTACCTCAACTTGTTCTTGAATCAACTCCTGGAAAGCAAGAGGCAGAACAATCAATCACTTACTGTTTTTCCCCTCCTCACCTTTCCTATCTGCTGTCCCAACCTGGCCATATTTACTGTATCAGTTCGAAGTCACTCACTGTGATAAATAACCAAGAAGGATGGCCCAGTGGTTGGAGCACTAGCCTAGGCAGTAGGAGATCCAGGTTGAAGTCTCCCACTCTGCCATAGACTTCCTGTGTACCTTGGGCAAGTCACCCTATGTAAAGTGGGGATGATAGCACTTCACAGGGGTGTTGGGAGGCATAGGCGTCAACTCCATGCACCCACAGGGAAAAATTAGCAGGTGCTCTGCACCCACCGGCAGCCACGTCCCCGCTTCTCTGCCTACCTCCCAGCGCTTCCCG